TTTATTTTGTGCATGTGAAAGGAGCCAATTTTGCATTTTTGACACATAATTGACTTTTTCAATGATTTGGGACTCTGAATCGGAGTTTTATTACACTGATTTCGAAACAAATGGAGAGTTTCAGCCGTTTGAGGCCTGGTTCAAACGTCGCGCTTCTCATGTGCCGAACCTAACTCGAGAATTAGGTACATGAGGGGCGCGACGTTTGAATCAATTTGGTACGGCAGATTTAATTAGGAGCGGCGGACTAGTTTGGATCGGCAGAGCTTGCCGAGCTGCACGGCTCCAGCGTCGAACTTGTCATGTACCGAACCTAATGCATAATTATATTTAATTCATTTTCTTTCACAGAAATATTTTCTTTCTTTGAGGGCGCATGCGTTTCAAATAAATATTTGAGATTGTGCGCCTTAACCAAGATACTTCATGTAATAATCCTAAAACCCATTTGGCGCGACATAATTAAGTTCGACGTTTGAAACGGGAGTCGCGCTAAACATGCTCAAGTGTCGCTCCAAACAGAGTTAGGTTCGGCACATGAGAAGTGCGACGTTTGAACCAGGCCTGAGTTTTTGCTGCCAACCAGCGCTGCCGCTTGGGCAGACAGTCGTGAGTCGTCCCATGGCTCAACAGTGACGATGTATGAACAAAGAACAGACTGGAAGTACAAACTGATATGGAATTTCTATTAAAAACAGTGCTATTGCTACAATCTAAATGAGATCAGGTATTGTAAAAATAGAATTTCATTTCAGATTGAGGCGTCTTTGTCCAGACTGGTTTGTCTGTATGGCCTACTTTGCTGAAATGCCTATGATGCCCTAAATGAAACTGCAAGTTATTAATTGTTAATGTAGCATTCTATGATTGTTTTTCAACGTTTTAAACGCGTTAACCGTATAGTGATATTGAATAGTAAAGGCGGGTTTAAAGTCGACTTGTGCGGATTTTATGCTATTTTCACCGGGCGTGAAGGGTTTCGGTAAACTGATAAGTTACCTGGCAGTCGAAAGATCTGGATTTACGAAATAGGCTTATAGCTCTTAGTCAAAGAACTATATTTCTTAGTCGAAGAAAATGCTGTTTAGCTGTCATAGGAATACCAACTGGCGCATTATATTCTTTTGCAAGCAATTTTGACTTGGGTGGGGGATGGTCTTTTTGCAAGACTAGGCTATTCCCTAGGATATCAACCTCTGTTAAAATACAATAATCAAGTTCAGTGAAATTATTATTTAGTCACACTCACAGCTCCCATCAACCAAGGTTTTTTCTTGAATTCATATTTCTGCACCCAAAGCAGGTTGCGGGATCGCTTTTACCGCTGTCTCCACTAGATTTCGTTTGTCTTTTGGCCATTGCTTCAACCCCCCCCCCCTCACCTCCCATGTTGCGATTTTATTTGTAATTGTAAAAATAAAAACTTTGAAGAAACGGTATCAGTTTTCAAACAAAATCGAATCCTTTTTTCACAAGCTTAGAGGTTCTTTCAATGTTTCAAAGCATGCTGGTTCGAAGATATCATCGCATGAAAATAAATTTTATGTGGATATTAGCGTCTTAGCAGACATGTAGCTAGGATTTTCTAGCTTCTATATACTTATAAATGAAATGCCTGACAATTTTTTGTCTTTTCAACGCGGACTATTCTCAATAAAACACGAAACTTCATTTGTACTTTCACCGTTGCGGTGAAAGCCTTTACAACGGCATTGTTAACATGTCACTTGTGACGTCAACCGATAATTTTAAAAACTCCTGGCGATAATCTTGTTTCCGCTTCGGGAAATTCCCGAGTCCTGGCTGTGACGTATTTGACGGATAAAAGTGCAAATATCAGAAAAAAGGCGAATCTAAGAAGAAAATTTTTTCCAGATTTGAAGTCAGCGACAAATTTTGCATCGAATAAGCCAAAGCTATTTTTGCGTGTCAGTAGATATGCCCGCGATAACTATTGAGGCTCTTTGATGGTCGACCATTACACTATTCTCGTTGGTATTCAGCTGAGTTTCGCTGAATTGAGCAAGCTTAATTCAATGTTTTGTTTTGTAACCCGATGCAAGGATACAATTGCATTGGTAAACAGATAAACACATTTAAGCCAAATCGTCGCCATGGGCATTTATCTTTATGATTCCAAATTCTTTTCTTTTTAATTTCACCATTCCAAAAGTATATGGTCTTTATAATCTAAACGATAATGCAAACTTGTGTAGCTAGACGTACAAGCATGATTAAAACAACTTTATAAGAGTAAAACTGAAATTAAAAAATGAACGGTAAAAGTCTGATAGAATGACAACAAAACGTACATTAAAAGTGGGATCAACCTCTGTTGGGCTTGTTAACACCACTCTGGAACCCAGTGTAGATTCGCTAACTTAAATTGTCGCACGCAGAAGGAGCACCCGAATTATATTTTGGTAGATGATTTTACGTCATGTCACTTTTACTTTTGTCTTGTAAATATGCTTAAATTTTCAAGTGCTATTTGACATAATGATGCAAGTAGAAACACAAAGTAATGACATAGGAGCTTCTCCAGTCGCAGTTGCAACTCACTCGACTACTTACGAAAAAGGCTAGTCAAACCCCTAAACAGAAAAGAGCCATCTCTAGGTTACTCTAGTTGCAAAATGATTATCTTGAAAATACAAGGCCATTTATCACACTGAGGCTAATTCATGACCTATACAATAAATACCATAATTTGAGAAAATACACCTGCTGGAAGCGGGTTTTCAACATTACTGTAAACATTTTTGCTTCACATAACTTAAATTTTGTCATTGTTGCCCCCTATTTGAAATATGGGCGTATCCTACCAGTAGAAGGGCGTTTTACAAGAATAAAAAGGGCGTGGTCTGTAAGATAACTAATTTTTCAACCCATCCAAGACAGTTTACTTGCGGGCGCTGCAACTGAAGACAGTATTTTTGCAGTATTTTAAGTTTTGGTAAACGTTTTCGATACAATATTTGGTTTTCTCTTGCTAAAAGCAAAACTATTAACGGAATCAGATTAAACTATACACCATTCGATGCACAAATAATTGGAAAATATTGTAAAATGATACTTTCCAGGCAAATTTATTGCTTGAATGAGTGTACTACCTTCAAAAGCTATTTTGTACCCTTGCATTTAAGGTAACAAAATCTGATTTATATCAGCAGAAAGCGCAGATTCTTAGCTATCATTATGTGTCTCAGATTTTTCAAAGTCCTCCTCCCCTCGAAACTATATCCTGTCAAAAACTGACAAATAATTCTTCCTCCCTCTAATAGCTGTATTTGGCTATAAAAGACAGACCAGAGCAAATACAAATAGTTTGAGACACTATTTGTTTACCCGACATCTGTCCTGGCCGTGTGCAAAGTTTTGAGCCATTCTAATGTTCCTTGGGTACAAAATAGCTTTTTCGTACCTGTATGTAGAGGAATTGTAGGTCCGGAGAAAACGGGATTTTACTGATCGCACTTGCAAGGTACACTCGTAAACCACAGTGTAGTTAGGGTCAAGTCATTCGAAGCTTTAAGATCAATAAGCCTGTTTAAATAAACACGGCCGTACATTGGATACATGAATGTGCTATGCGATATTGTAAAACAGACATGATATCACAACCGCAAAGCAACGATAATCGGCTTGAAGCCTGATTAACACCAGACGAATTTTTTCGTGCGAAGCGAATTTTTCGCCGCAAATGCGCGAAAAATATGCGCAGAAGTAGAGATTAGAAAATTCGCAGCGAATTCGCAGTAGAAAGCATTTCTACTTTTTCGCTGCGAAATTTTTCGCCTTATAAAAAAACCAATCAGAACAGCATTTGAAGACACCTGACTTCTGTTTTGGTTTCAGATGGCCTACGTCTTTCCGCATTCTTTTTCTCAAACACCCTCGCCTTTTAAACGTCAATAAGATAGATTGGTAATTATTCATTCTCTGTTCCTCTTACACAATCCATGTAAGTGGATTCATATCAGATTATTATACAAATATTTGAATTTCAAATTGACGAAAACTGGCTTGAAATTTTCATCATTCTACCAATATGTCAGAAATAAAAAAAACAGGCAAGAATTTCTTCAAATTGCTGAATTGTTGGCTGCTTATTGGCGTGTTCAACAGCAAAAGTTTTAAGCAGATGCACTAACAGGATCTCGCATGCTTGTGCAAGCTTCGATAGCGACCTTTGAAAGTATTTGAAGAAGTTATCCTGGTCTTATAAATGTAAACGTAAATCTCTCTTACCGAAAGATGGAATTCCCCCTTCTGAAGACGTCCTGAATAAATTTTTCTAATCCAGTATCGCTTTTTGCTGTTTTGCTCACTTTTTTGGTAAATTTAAAATTTGCAACTTTCGGATAAGGGCACTCTTCGGACAGTCGCTATATTCTTTTGCAATGTTCGCAGCGAATTCACATAAAAATTTTTGCCAGTGTAAATTGAGCTTCGAATTCGAGAGAAAAATTAGCAGCTAAAAAATTCGTGGCGAAAAATTCGCTTCGCGCAAAAAATTCGTCTCGCCTTGAAAGTCAAAAACTGGATGTTTCCATCGAGAAAACGTTTACCGAAACCTTAAATAGGAAAACTGACGTTCGTTGTATTAACTGATTTTTTCATTCTACATAGAAAAGACCTGGATACCAGTGCTTTACTGTAGTCCACCGAAAGCCTTAAAGGCAATCTGTCACGACCTTGATTGGTTATAAGAACGAAGGGATTTTTATTGTTTCCAGTCCCCCTTTAATTTATCGCATTGTAAAAAATATGGCGGAGCGCTGGAATCGTGTTTAGGCTATTGTTCCAGCTTTTAAAAGAACAGAATGTTTTCTATTAAAGGATGAAATACCAGAACATGCACAAGGAGACAACAAAGTGATACAAAAAACAACTTCATCCTTACTTTAGCTGCATAACATTTATACGTTTTGTATTGGTTTCATCAGAATTTGAAGGTTTATTATTATTTGTCATTTCAGGAAATTACTAGATTGACCATGAATACGCTCAGCTTGATATGGGTTTGGTATTTGTATGCAATGCGTACATTGCTCGCACGCCTCGAAAATGGAATGGAATACTTTGCCCTCCGTGTAACAAAGCATCCAAAAAGAATCTTGTTGATCTCAGCTTTGGTTATAGGCTTAAGCTGTCTAGGGCTCATAAGATTCCGCTCAGAAACAAGAACTCGTGAACTTCTTGTGCCCCAAAACTCAGTTTCAGAGTCTGCACTAAATGAAGGAAAGCCCTTTTTCCGAAACATCTTCAACGCAAGAGCTGAAGAGATACTATTCACCCCAAAGAACGGCCAAAATATTCTCTCTAAAAACTGTTTGCCGGAAATTGTTTCTGTTCTTAAGGAAATTGCTTCATTACCAGGATACAAAAGACTTTGCTACCCAGTACCAAAGTTTCTGAAGAAAGAGCAAAATGCTTCAATCAGCAATTCAGTTTGCCGACAAGTGAACATTCTAGAAATTTTCGCAAATGATACCAGCAACGATACTCTAATTTATGAAACTTTTAAAAAAGCGATATCGAGTCCTAGTTTGCTAATGTCAAATGGACGGAGTACAGCAGTCAATGTACAAGAAGCTCTTGCTGGCTTCAACTTAAATACTTCGGCACAAACTGTTAATGCGAAAGCTATTCGAACTGTGATGTACATGAAACAGGAGACTGAAACAAAGGAAATCATGGAATGGGAAAAGTCGTTTCTTTCTTCATTGAAGCTGGCAAGAGGATCATTAAAAAACGTAAGCGTTTTTTTCTCTGCCGAAAGAAGTATGGATGATGCTATTGGAGACAGTTCCTCGCATGATATTGGCCTAATAAGTGTGACGTTCACCATCATGTCAACATTTGCTTGTCTAGTTTTATCGAAATTTGTCAATCCGGTACAAGGACACAATTTGTTGGCTTTCTTCGGAGTAGTATCAACTGCTTTAGGTATTCTATGTGGCATTGGGCTGACAATGTTATTTGGCATACCATTCATCCGACTAGTTGGTGTCGTGCCCTTTCTAGTTGTAAGTGTTGGAATAGATGACATGTTTATTATCGTGGATGAATTTGATAGGCAGTCTCCAAAATTTGCTCCACGAAGGCGGGTGTCTAATGCTATTGCCAAAGTCGGGGCAACAATCACTATGACAACAATAACTGATGTGATTGCCTTCTTTATTGGGACATCAAGTGCATTTCTTGACATCAAATATTTCTGCATATATACTGCAATGTGCATCAGTGTCGAATTCCTGTTCCAAATAACTGTTTTTGTTGTATTTCTGTTTCTTGATGCTAAACGAATCGACATGAAAAGAAGTGCTTGTCTGCCAGTTCTGAATGCTCCTGATAAAAATTGTATTAACATGAAAAACAATGCACCATTTTCAGCGAGAATACTGAAGGCTTACGGAAACAGTCTCTTGAAATGGCCGGTAAAATGTTTCGTTATTCTTCTCACAATAGCATTGGTCGCAATGGGCATTTTTGGGTGCATAAACGTGGATACTCGTTTCAATAGAAGGACATTGGCCATGCCAAATTCAGAGTTTTCCAATTATGTAAAGGTGCTTGAAAGCAATTTTCCTTTAACCATTCCTGTAAACATTCAGGTGACGAGCAAGGTTAACTATTCAGACCCTCGTGTAAGAAAGGAAATTGCAAGTTCTGTGCGGATCGCCTACGAAACTGGTTACTATCTCAACCGTAATCTTTCTTGGGTTCATGCATTCGAAGAATACTGCAACAAATATGCAATAAAGGCCGATGGCAAAGGTTTCAAAAGTGCTATGCAGAAGTTCCTGTCGATTCCTCAATATAAGCAGTTCAAAGTAGATATTAGATTTGATAGAAAGGGTGACATTGCAGCTAGCAGAGTCATGGTTTACTACAAAGATACAAGTGATTCTAACAATCAAAAAGATGCTATGCTGAAAATTCGCCGTGACCTTAGTAAGCAAAGCAAACTCAAGTTTTCTGTCATAGGAGATCCGTTTGTCTACTTCGAGCAGTATGCGGTCATCGTGGAGGAAGTAATCAGGAATTTGATATGTGTATCGGCTGTTATCGCTGTTGTGCTTATACCATTTTGCATTCATCCATTGATCATATTTTTCATCCTTATTGGCTTCGCATCCCTGGTTGTGGAACTATTTGGCTTAATGTATTTGTGGGATGTACAATTAAACACAATAACAATGATAACTTTAGTGATGTCTCTTGGTTTCACAGTTGACTACAGTGCTCACATTGCACACGCCTTTGTCATATCTAGAGAACATACGGTAAACGGGAAGATAAAAGAGGCACTCACTACAATTGGTGGTAGCGTGTTCCTGGGCGCAGTCAGCACTTTTCTTGGTATGGTTCTCATTGGTTTTGCTGATTCTCCTATATTTCAGGTAAGGTTAAAATTTTAACCTAAAGATATTATCATGAGGGATCGCGGCATAAAAAAACAGCAGTCTTTTTTGGCCGTTTAATGATCACCATGGCCAAGCACCTCCACTTTTGTGTACATGTATCATGTATGGGTGTTACATTCTGATGAAAAGGAGAAGCTCTCGAAAGTCTTACAATAGAGTAAAAATTGATTCTTGTCTTTTATAGAAGCTATTAATAGAAATGATTCTTGGTCGTCTAAAATAACTTAAGTTTCCATCCAGTTTCCCTGGGGAGTTTGACCATAAATGAATCGAGTCTGGAAATATGTCGGCATTTGGTGATAAGAACAAAATGAAGCTAAGGGGTGACCTGGTAATACCATTCTATAACCTTAAATAGCCTTTCTCGCGGCCTTTGAATGTTTGTGTTCTGGGCTTTGATTCATAGAAGAAGCAATCGCCACTTTTTTACAATGTTTCAACAGCAATGCCAAGTATGAATTTGAAGCGATATTGTACACGTTTATTTCTTCACCAATGTCAGATTTTGCATCGCCTTTCTGAACTTACAATTGAGAATAATAAAAAGGAAGATAGGAAGGCCTGTGATTGCAGCGTGAAAAAGTGAAAGGCTTGAAATTTGCGGCATACTAAGAATAAGATATAATTATGACGATAATAAGCAAATATGTTTTAACAATTATTGCTCACAAATTTCAACGTTCTCTTTTAGATCTTCTTTAAGATGTTTGTTGGAATAGTTATATTTGGCCTTTACAATGGTATGGTGCTGCTCCCTGTTCTTCTATCTATTTTCAAAAGATATGTTGATTTTGACACAAACAAAGACTTTTCAATCAAAGATTCGCAAAGCCTCCTATGGAAATATATCTTTGGAGTAGATCCAAAAAGTCGTCATAAGGCTATGGCTGGAAAAAGAAGAAACGTATCCATTACCGGGATGTCAGCACGGTTCCCTACAGCGAGAACTAAAGATGAATTTCATGGCTTGCTAAGAGAAGGTAGAAGAACATTAGGCGATTACCCAGAAGGAAGATACGGAAGAAGAAAGCATTTCTTGGAATCATTCAACCCAATACGATCGGTTCCTGGCAAGATTTATGTTACAAGAGGCTCATATCTAGAAGATGTTAGCAAATTTGATTACACGTTCTTTGGGATATCTGCTTCGAGGCCAAGGTAATGGATCCACAGCAGAGGCTGCTCCTGCAAGGTATGTTGGCATCAATTTTTTTGCTGTCAGCGATGCTTTCGGTGTCATCAGTGCTCTTGTTGTTGTCAGTGCATTTGATAGCATCAGCTCTATTTCTGTCATTAGCTGCTCATTTGTTGCCAGCAGTACATTTTCTAATACTGAAACTACTTTAAATCTGTTGCAGGAACCTACGAGGCAATAGAGGACGCTGGTATGACGATCGAAGAGTTGCAGCAATGTACCACTGGTGTTTATGTTGGCATCATGAACCAAGAATACAGTTCAGTGGCATTTGGACCTGATTCTCTCCCCAACCTTGATCAGTTTGCAGCCACAGGAAACGCCTTTTCAATAACTGCAAACAGAATATCGTTTTCATTCAATCTTTCTGGACCAAGCATAGCAGTAGATACGGCTTGCTCATCTTCTTTAACAGCTCTGAATATTGCTTGTGACCATATTCAAAAAGGAGCAGTTGATGTAGCCATTGTTGCTGCAGCCAATGTGATACTTGACCCAGTCAAACAGGCACCTATATGTAGAGCAGGAATGCTGGCCTCTGATGGTCAAAGCAAAGTTTTCGATGAAAGAGCGGACGGTTACGGAAGAGGTGAGGCTGCACTGGTTTTCATCCTTAAAGGCAGCGATTTTGTCAACTCATCCGAC